CACCGTCGCTCTTACCTTGTACGATTTGACAACTACAGCTGCAAACATGCCAGTCAGGTGATCGCGCTTCGTCCGCCTTACGAAGTCCAGGAAGGAGCTACTAGGATGTCCAGACTTCCTGCCTGTGTCAACAAGGGGCCTTACAAGAAAGGAAAGAACGGTGGAGGGGGCAGAGAAACAGGGAAAGAAGTGCTCAGTACGGAGAAGATGCAATGGTGAAGAAATCAAAGAGTCAACAACACTTGCGACGACGCGAGACAGCGACGTTGGAGAAGCGCGAGCGAAGCACGCGATTTGCACAGGGCCCAATGTGCGTATTGTCATTTAGCGACCGGCGGATCGACAACTAGCAATGTCGCGATGATGGAGAGCAGCGGTCCTAGAATATCAGCGCCGAAAAGTATTCGTCTGCGCTCTTGTGGAGATTTTGCCATCTTCTGCCTCGCTCTCTTCTGATCAACCGTTCTCGCCCGGTATCAAGGGCAGCCGTGCCCGCTCACCCAACACCCGTCCGTGTCCGAAACTCGCAAAACGTCTCACACGCTACACCGGCACCCTAGTCCTCCCACAGCGCACGCGGGTTCTCTTGCCGTGGACAAGAGGAAAAAGAAGAAAGGATAAAAGACGCGAGCAGGGATGGGTGCGGGCAGAGAGAGACGACGGGCGCTCGGAGCAGATGGTGCTCCCAGCACAGGGCGAGACGGCGCACCAAACTATGGGGGAAACAAGTCGAGACAAGACCAAAAGAAACAAAAACAGCGCGAGCGAGAGCCAAGATCAGCAACTAGTCACTGTCTCCGAAGTAAACGCGTGCGAAGAGTCCGCGTTTTTCTGCAAGGATCCTCCGGGCAGTATTATCACGAAAATCTTGTCCCTCTTCAGCATGGCCTCTTTTCTTTCTCACACAGCCCCCTCTAGCTCCCCTGTTTTCCTTCCTCGGTCTTCGTCTCTTTCTGTCAAGGATGGCAAGGCCAGCTGAAGACAGAGGAAAACGACAGCCAGAGAGCCAGTGAGTGGCCCTGGAGACAAATCCGCGTGGGGAACTGTCTCAGTGCGGATGTCTGAGTAGTGTTCTTTGTCTAGTGCCTCTCTGTTCCTCTTCCTCCACGCACGATGACCAGCAACGCGAGTTACGTCGTTGTCTGCCCTTCGATGTTCGCAGCAATTCAGTTCCTCGCCTCCCCGTCAAGACCCATCTGTCACCTCCACCATGTTTATGGATTGTACCGCTCTTCCCATGCTTCTTCTTTCCCAGAAGCCAATATGCCCGGCTAATTCGCCCAATTCGGAAACACAATGTCACTGTTTGGCGAAGGCTGCCTTCAAACAAGCTCTAGTCAATGCCGTGCGTCGATGCAAAGCGCCCACGCTAAGAACATAGAACGCTGACGCATTGAACGCTGACGAACTCTTCTGGGCAAAGCGACGAACAGAAGTGGGCTAGGGGCACGTCAAAACTAGTCAAAATTATCCTACTCTAGTACGACCCCTTTTGATGTCGTATTTTTTTTCCAAAGAATCTTCCAACAGAGCACTACAAAAGCACATTGCAGCTTGCCAACGGCTTGTCCGAAACGGGATGGCGCGAGACACTACGAATTAGCTGGACGGACCGGTGGTCGGGAACGGCACGGTCGGTCTTCGAAGTGAGATGCAGTCTACCATAGACTGTCAACAGGTTCTTTGTACCTTGTGAGGTGTGTAACAATGAAACAATGAGCGGTGGAATTGCGCTCGGCCGATGTCGTACGGAGTATACGACTGCATTTTATTAAAATTTATTTTTTTACGACGAGCTTCAGATTTATGATTGAGAATTCCATCTTACCTTTTCAAAAACACGTATATTGACACCTGGGGTATATTTCCAAAGCAGTAGGATCTGCCCCTCTTCTCACATCGCTCCCTTTTATCTCACCTAAGAAATATAGGATGCATAAGTGTTTGAATGCCTACATGTGCATATCTCCGGATTAGGAGATATTTGCACTCAGTTTCTTGACTTTACTATTTTCGTCACTTTTGTTGCTTTTGCATATCTTATCTATCATTTTTTTTCAGCTAGCTAAGCCACTCTCTTCCTTTCCTTTCGTGCCTTTTTTTGGTTTTATTAGTTACATGGTGGTGAGTTGTTTTTTTACGGCCACGATCCGTAGGAAGTACTCATCAGAAAAGAATGTTGTCGAAAGCACGACGTAACATGAATAAAAGCCAAATGGGAAGTCCACCAAGGGAAAAGTACACCGGTTGATTTTTAAAAGTCCCTGGAACCCGGCAATTCGGGACAGGAACAGACACTTGCTTCGATTAGCAAGAACCCAAGAAAGCACAGACATAGTGGCAAACAATTGAATACCCTCTGGTCGGAGAACTGCTGTGGAGCCCGTCGAAATCTCTTCTGTCTTGGATAGTGCATGTACAGGCCTCGAGGCGCCCTTCCCAGCCAGACCTTTCCATGGCGAGCGAGGTGCAGATAAGCGAATCCATGCAATGTAACCCTGGGCCGCCCCGCCCAAAATCCGCAATTGGTACTATCCTTGGTCCGACTAACCGGCGGCGGTGTAATCAAAAAGGACGAAATCACCAGACAGTCACGAGATGTACCGTCTTTACTGCTGTCTTCACGGCACACGTTCTCCTTTATGTCACTCTGTAGAGACGAGAGGAGGAGAAGTGGCTCCTAAACGCAAGTGTAGTACAAAATACGTTGTCAGAAACAGTGCTGCGACTGTAATTAACGGCACCGAATCAACCAGAGGAGGCTGTATCGACCGTCTGCGGACGTGCTGCTGCGGGAAACGAAGACAAACGGAGTAGAATGAGACTTCATCCTGATCAAACGTGAACGACACAAAAGAACACAGAGAAAGGGGTTCGGGTGCTACTGCGTATCGTGTTCTCCGTGGCATTTCCACGCTATCTCCCACGCCTCTCGTTCTTTTCTTTGGACTCCGTGTCCCTTGGTCCACTGGACTGCACGATGTGTGCATTTCGGGGTTTCACATGCTGCAGGGCACCGGTAGACAGTTGTCGACGATAAGCGAATGAAAATCAGAGCTAGAAAGGGAAGCAGGCGTCTCGATGCAAAATCGTACGAGTTCTGCTGTTGTTTGGGGGAGGGAAGCAAAGGAGACGATCGTTCCTTGGAATTCTTTCCATTCATCTGGATCAAAGTCATCGATACGAGTTTCATCGTTGTCGTGGAAGGTCCAGGTACTCCTTACTTCGTGTCCACGACCTAGAGATTCGTTTCTTTCGAAATGTGTACTCCGTGATACCTCCCTGCAAGGCAACGTGTCCGGAGAAACTCCGAGAACTCCATCCGCCAGATTGGCGGAGCGGCCTCGACCAGTTGAACTGTCTGTGGCAGCTGGCCGATGGTGATCATCGCCTACTTTGGCTATGCCCCGAGACACCAAAAAGGAGACTTTGAAGGAGATGGCGACGGATGGCGACGGATACCAGCGGATGGAGGCGATGCGATGGAGCGATGGCGCCACGTCGGACATTCTCCCGCAGCCCACACCGGAGCGTACCTCCGAAGATCTTTCCAGGTGCGAGCGGCTACAGAGTAGTCGTACGCAGTACTCTGCTGGAGCAAAATATCAAGGTATCTGCAATTCCACAAGAGCACGCATAGTTTACATTATTTTGTAAGTTGCGCATATTTTTCACCCGACCTGGGTTCTCAGTTATACCAAATAATGTCTTGAGAATTTGCCCATCATCCTAAGTTATATATTATATTTTCTTCCCCATATATCATTATTATTATTGACATCATTTGTATATTATGTTTGTTTATATTCCTTATATTTCTTTTCTTTTCTTCTTTCCTTCTTTCCTTCTTTCCTCCTTCCTTTTTTCTTTCTTTTTGAGCGGACGCGCCACTCGCAAGAATTTCCATTTCGGGAATAGTATGGTCGTGGAGTTCCTATGAGCACACACCGGTCGACGCTTCCCCCATGTTTCGGACAGGGGCGGGGCCCTCCTGCCTACTCGGCTAGTCCCTGTGTTCTTTGGCTCCCTCGCCTTCACGTTGCCTTTCTTTTTCAGTTTTAACTGCAAATCCACAATCCGCAATCTGCAATCTACAATCTGAACACCACAAAATCCCCGTGCAAGCGACCCAGCCTCCAGTCATTCGTCTCCTGCTGTCTCGCTTGCTCCTTCGCTTGTCCTTGTCAGCACTGCTCGATTCTGGGCATCTGCCTCTTCCTCGACAGGGCTTTTCTAAAAACGGCAATGATGTTCTCTGTTCACCCGTACGATCAACAACAACCGCGCTCCGACGGCCTTAGCGTGAGAAAAGGGGGGGATGAAGGATGGGCCGTCCCGGCCAATCAGAGGGCACAGGCCGCAAGCCCAGCTTCTCACCTCTAACGGCGACCAACGTACGAAGAAAACTCTCGTGCCAAAGAACATGTGGGATATCGCCGCAGACCAGAAAACGGGACCTATCAAAAGGAAAACAAAAACTACTAATTTTAGGTGAATGCACGTCGTATGTCGTCGTATCGTATACCGCACGATATGGGTACTGTAAGTTGAAACTGCATGCTCATTAATGGGATTTAGACTCATATGAATAATGTAGCATTTGCATACGGAGTACTCTGTACTGCGAACTTCTCACAACGTTGTCGTTTCATTGTTTTCATCCTCCGCTTGCTGTGCTGTTCTATATGGCGGCTGTACGAGTACCACCCGCTGCCAAGCAAAAAAAAAAATTGAAAATAAAAAAAAAATAAAAAATTGAGAAGAGTACACGTGGCTTTTGCCAAAAGAAAAGCCACACCAACACTCCATGTAATGTAACAAAGGAAGTAGGTATAAAGGGAACCCGTATTTCTTTCGTATTTCTTGTCTCGTGTATCAACATAAATGGCAAAGCTAAGAAGAAATGAAGCCTGACGAACTCATAAAAATGGAAAAGAAAAAAAGAAAAGAAAAAGACAAAGAAAAAGAAAAGGAGATAAAAACGGGCTGGCCTTTTCCGGTCAAGGCACAATGTGCGTCTCCACGTGGGTCTGTACTCGCTGCGGCTCGTAGTCGTCAGCGCCGTCGGCTGTCCGTCGTGATGCCACCTTGCGCGGCTCCAGCGTCCGGATAATCCACACCGTCTTGTTCTTCTTCAGTGGAGCAGCCTCCGCAGCAGCAAGTGGTGAAGGAGGCAAGGGAGGTGCCGCATTGGGAACAGGAGGAGCATATGTGGCCGCAGAGGGGCCATAGGGCCCGAGTACACGTGCTGGGGCCTGGCCAGGCGATGGTGATGTGCCAGTCCTGTGTCCACGGCCCGCCCTAGGCGTGCTTGACTGGCTTGAACGGCGCACAGGTGCAGGTACCTGCGGTGAAGCGCTTTCGTCGACCATCATGCTGCAACCACTGTTTCCGCCAAACGATGCTGCAGGCGACGCGGCGGCATACGTCGTCGCTGGAGAGTAGCCGTCGTTGCTATTGCAGTAATAGTAGTCCGGGCCGGGCGAAACGGGCCCAGAAGGCGTGCTCACTTCGCTCACACTGTACACGCTGCTTGCGCTACCTTCACTTCCGTGGCTGATCATGTTGCTGATGCTAAATGCGTTGTTGTTGCTGTTGCTGTTGCTGTGGTGGCCATTCCTATAACCGTGCCCGTGGCTCGTGCTGTTGCTGCGACTGCAGTTCCGGCTGCTGCTGCGGAGGACGCTCGCCATGCGTGGTGAGGCCGTTGACTTGCTCCGGCTGCTACGGCCCCCTCCTCTACTGGAAACCTGCTCTTCGTGGCGAAGCTCTTCCTCGTGGGTTAGAGCCCTGGCCGAGTCGATCTCGCGGAACGGAGGAAGATTCACCGTGGCTTCTTGGTGTCTGATGGTCACAGTCAGCTTTTTGTTTATTCCGTACCAAAATGCACAAACGACCCGTAAATAATGTTGCTGTACATGACGGATCCTTTCCATTGAGGGATACCATCACCCAACGACAACCTACAGGGCGTTAGGCCAGGGACGGACCGGTAACATGTGCGGAGCCATAGCCATCGATGACGGCTGCTGGTGGGTGTCCTCGCTGAGGACGTAGTTCGTATTGCTGCTCCGATGGCTACTGCTTCTTCTCTGCCGCGTTGCAGAGTGCGGGTATGAAACTGGCGATGTCGGCGCGCCACGTGCTGACCCCGACGTGGATGAGCCATAGGCCATCTCCACGTCCCCGTCGTAATTTGGTGCCAAAGGTGAGCTGTGTGCGTTGCTGCTTCTGTTGCCGCCGCTGTCGCCGCCGCTGCCGCCGTTTTGTGCCAAAACTGCCTTGCCTGTTGCCAAAAGGCTTTCGCCGCCAGCTGTTGCTAGCTCTTGCTGCAACCGGCCTTGTGAATCTTCTGCCCGTGCTGTGTCCGCTGCTAGTGATGCCCGGCGGCTCTCGATAAAGTTTTCTGTGATTCCGAGGGAGTCGACGGACGGAAGATGACTCGGCATATCTGGCCGTTTCACTGGCAAAACTTGCATGACTTCACCTGTCCGGAGGCTTCGCTGCACATAGAATGTGCCATACGGCGTAACGTGAAGACCCATGGTTTCAGATGTTGAAAATCCAGTAATGCTGTATTCGTTTTCTTTGGTGCCTATGATCAAGAATCAAGGCTTTTGAGTTGTCGTGAGGTCGTTTGTGTAGGTTCCTTGATACTGTTCTCGTGACGTGGTAGATGTTTGCGGGAAGCTCAATAGTGGACGGCAATGGGGCGACAAAGAATAACAAACCATAAAATCATATAAATCGCCTAAAGGGGTATCTGGTGCAAAATAACAAATGGCAAATGTACAGTAACAATGGGCGTGTGACCTGAAGTAATCACGCTCGGAAGAAAATAAATGGACACAGATGTATCAAAGAGACGAATGAAAGGTGTCAGAGAGATGGGTTGGAATGGGTGGACGGATGTTTCTTATAACGGCATAATGAAAAGGAAACAAACGACCGAAAGAAAGAAGAAGTGGGGAATGGTCGTCAAAGGAGCAGGAAGCAAGAAGATATAAGAATACCTGGCGTGGTCGGCCTACTATGGGGAACCATGGTCTATGTTTTGTCGAAGGAGATAGAACGGCCGGCTACTTACTTATTTTGTCCTCGTAAGACAGTCGCTTGGTCTTGATGTTGCCACACCTCTCTCGCTGGTGGAGAGGGACTGTAGAGGGCCCCAGCTTGGCTGCTGGATAGAGGAGGGAGGGGTGTATGTTTTGTTGTTGTAATAGTCGCACGCCTGTAAGCGTTTGTCGACTTTCGACTTCGTTCTTAGCCCACAAAAGAAGCTAGGCCACATGCTGTGCCCCATTGGCTACTCCATACAAAAAAAGAAAAGTAGAACTGGCCGACATGGCACTCTGTACGTCGTAATAAGAAGCAAAGAAGAGGGAAACGGAACCCACATCGATACGACGAAACAGACATGTTACGAGCCCAGCGGCAAGTAAAAGAAAACAATAAATGAAAACAATACAAGAAACAAGGAAAAAGAAAAACACGCGTCGTACACTGCATCGGCTTAATGTACCTGGTTCCAAGCAACCTCTCGGGTGGCACTAGGTCGAAATGCACAAGCATGGAACGAGTGTGAGAGTGTCATACCTGGCGTCTCGATGCAACGGTCTACATCGACAGCCTACATGCATATTGTGCTTCGGCAGACTCGTCGAGAACGGCGAAGGTGTGTGAATGGAGACGATGCACATGTGTCTGCACATGTGTCTGCACATGGTACAGGGTAGTGAAACCGGTGGGAAGAGTCAGGATGCTGCGTCGTATTGTTGCTCGGTTTCTCCAGGTCTTTTTCAGGCCTAGAACTTGGATGCCAACAGTGCTCAGCCGCAATAGATACATATACTCGCAATCGCCATGGTTGCATGTCGTACCTGTGTAGATCGTAGATGCAAATAAGGATTGGCTTGGACCCAGCCTTTGAGACCATAAACAATGTTGTGTGGAGTACCACTACACAGGGTACGAGGAAATGACCCAAGAAGTTTAAAAGTGACAGCCAGCGCACAGCTGGCCTTGAGAAATAAAAGTTGTTTCGCCACTTTGTCCGCACACTAAATTTATTAAGCTGCACCGATCGTACGGAGAGCATGTCACTTCATTTTGGTGGTCGAAGAGAGACGGAGACAGATTAGACTGCTGGCCCTCTTGAAGAATCCCCCTGCACAGATGCAGAGGGTCCTCGCCCGATGGGGAGTTCGGAGTTGACTGTGGGGTCGTGCTTTGGTGAGCTCCATTTTCTGTCGATTTGTACATTTTGATGTCTGGGAGTTTGTTTTCGATCCATGCTTCAGAAAGTCTTGCCTCAGCACCCATGACCAGTGTGTCCCCATAGTCGAGCAGACAAATGCACGTACGCGGTCACACCAAAGCTGGGATGCGAAACAGGCGAATGCCAGTGGAAATTCTCTAGAGAGACGTTTAGTAGTGTTGACAGGTGTCAAAAAGTACCGTGTTTGGCCCTTTAAGACATGGAGATTTCGGAGCATTTGTGAGACGTGGGCTCACCAAGACAATTTGGTGGGGTTTTTCAGAGGAGACGAGTCTCGACCTTTGAGTTTAGGAGTGTCTGGGAGTGTGTCTGGGGGCATGTCGTTTGCTTCCCTTTCAAGCTGCTCCAGGAATGACAGGTTATGTGGCTTGTGGTGAGGGTCAGAGTGTTTCGAGGTCCGAGAATACTTCACTGAATGCGGAACATTTCCTACATGCACTCGCTCTGGCTTTGCGAAGTGCTGGATTGCATCTGAGAATGCTGGTAGGCGCCGGAGGCAGATAAACGACCTTCGGTGGAGAAGGATGAGTGTTAGGGAGTAATACTCCACAGGTAAAGACGCAAGGGCAGGGGAAGCAAAGAAGAGTTAACAGCATATTTGGTGGGTGTGTCGGCGGTACTGACGAAATATCGACGCTTGTTTGGGAGCCAACAATTGGCTGAATTTCTTGGCGTTGTGCTTTTGAGCCATGTTTCTTTTATCGGCTGTCTTCACCAGCGAGACAGTATTGGCAAACGGCCGGCTGGAAGATTGGACGACCGTTGGTTGAGACATTTCTTTGCTTTGTTCCAAGCTTCTCCCCCCCTTTTTGGGGTTTACCTCTCCGCTTGAGTCTTAGTTGCCTTTCAAATTTCCGTGAGCTTGGATACGGCGTGGAATGTAGTGGAGGGTGGCTGTTGAAAAGGGGAGGTGAGGGGAGGTCAGGGAGGATGCAAGAAAAATGACAGAACGATCGAAAAATGTGACAGAATAGAACGCTGGCGAAAGGAAGTCGAAACGAGCCCATCGCCAAAAGTCACAAATCAGAAACAGACCTGTCGTTCCTTCCTCGAATTCGTAACCTTGATAAACATATCCACAAGGAAAGAGCGTTGCCTAAGAAGCAGAAGGAGCTTTCCATCTGCTCGAAAAAGCAATTCGAGATGAATCCAGAAGGAGCTAACGACTGACTTGCCTTGCCCCAATCAACCGATCCACAAAGCTCCTTCCTTATGCATAGTGAGTGGGCAGGCATGCATAACAAATGCAGCAGAACGAAAGCGACGGAAGGCAGCATGCACGCGACAAACCACGAGCCGCAGGTGGCATGCTCAGGGAGGGCCAGAGCAGCTGAGGCGCCAACAAGTAAGATGCCCAAGTCAGGCAAAGGCCGACTTCCGCCGCTGTCAACAAATCCCGGAATGACGACGGGCGCATCACAACAAATGACACCAACGCCCTCGGCCGGCTTTGTACTCAGTATTTTATTGATTATTCTCTTGCCTGAGACATGCACAAGCGCGGGCGAAGAAAAAAAAAAGCGGCATCGCACCAAGGAACGGCCCACGCTGGGAGGAAGGTATGCGGAAGGGCAACGAAGAGCTGGGGCGGAAACGATTCTTTCGACACTCGACACGCATTCGAGACAGAGCAGCACCAGCAGCGCATCTGGGCAAGCCCTGACACATGGCCTCATCGCTTTGTAACGTCTATCTTTTCTAATTTCGACAGCGAAGGTAGGGGGGGGCTAATCAACGGCGGTGGTTCAAGACAGGAATGGCATGCGAGCCAGCAATCAGTGATGGGCAAAGTACCTCTGTCTTTTTCAGCTTCGCCGGTCAGTCGCGTCCACGTTTGGTACGAATGTGGTTCGAGACATCAAAGGTCAAAACGAAAGCGAACGATGGGACTGAAGTCGTTCAAAAAAAGGACGTTGGCGATTCAATATAGAAGTACACATGACGTAACTCAATGACGAACAACAAGAAAAATCTGGGTCCGAGGACACAACGAAAGAAGGAAACAAAAGCGACCAGGAAACGGCGGAGTGCAGGCGGGAATCATGCGGGAAGCATGCGGAAGGCAGAGCGCGAGGGCGCACCACGCCGCACCACTCGGGGCCGGACGCAGTAGCCACCTGCATGGGACAGGATCCTCTCCACTCCGGCAGGGACTCGAGCATAAATGTAAAAATTACCGGGTGCGTCGGCTTGGCGTTTGCGTTCAAGATACGGAATACAGACAGAAACAGAAACTACAAGCACTGACGACAATCAGGAAATAAAGAGGCTACGTCGAAATACACCAACGTTTAAAGCCAAGACCAACCGACCCATACCGAAGCGCTGGGCAGTCGGACAAAGGACAACGAGAAACATCCGCCAGCGCGCAACTTGGAAGTGGGTGGTGGGTTGGAGGAGAGACGATGTTCGGCCCCAAACGTAAAAGGCGAAGAATGAAGAAGCAGCAGCACGACAGTCCAATCTTGACCATGCGCTTTTTTGCTTCATGGCCGGCAAGGTGACGTACTGGACCTGAAGAGAGTACAGGACACGGGTTATGAACAAGTGGAAAAATAAAGAAGTACAGAGAGAAAACATGGCAACGAGAGAAAACACTACGAGACGTCCTGAGAACGCGTCACTGATGTTTACAAGGGCAATTGTCGACCAAAGCTGGTTAGCCGAGGGCGTGCGACCAATGGCCAGTTTCCTCGCCTGTTCTCGGCAATCTCAACTCTCTCTCTCGTGTCAATATTCAGGCGGACGCCTCGGGCCATCCGAGGTCTCGGTGGCCTTGGGTCACAGCCTTGGGTCACAGTCTCGTGTCGCAATTCTGGGGCATAGTGTGGGAATAGTGATCTGGAATCTTCATCTTGGGATTCTTTCAGTTCTGTGTTTACCCACAGAGCGGTCGCTCCATTTGTCGCTGTCACATCCGGCATGTTCCGCCTCGAACCAAGCTTTTTTCCATTTATCTCAGATGGAGTCAGGACGGATCCAAGGCCGTCTTCTTTTGATGTCATTTCGACTTGTCTCCCAGACTTATTTGACGGCCTTATTGGGGCTATCCAGTCTGCCGTGCAGCATTTAAGTCTATCATTTTCCTTAACGGGTGGCCATGTGCGTCGAGGGCAATCCTCAGAACGTGAGAATCGTTCGATGTTTCGCAATGGCGTGTTCTTTCTGCACCCAAAAGGGCATGGACGCACAGCAAAACCACCAAAAGAACACCAAAAAACTGGGCTGGGCCCTATGAGCGCCGGATTTTTCTTGGAAAGCCACATC